TGAGCGCATTAGGGTGGGGGAGGATTTGAGTAGCTTATTGTTAATTATCTAACTTATATCCATAGACAAAAAGAAATAAAAGAAAAACATAAGTCATATTTAAGGTTAATTATAAAAATTATAAGAATTGTTACTTAAGTTATGATATGGTAGTTTTACGAGTAAATTACACATTTTCCAATCTTGATTTAGTCATTTTCACTTTTTATATATTATCCAAAATTTTATTTTAGTTTTAATTTGTTGTACTATTTTTGAAGAGCTTGTTTAGCATCATATTGAGGAACCAATATACTCAAAATGAAAATTTCAATAATATAAGAGTTTTGATGATAACAAACAAGCTTGGAAGAGACCTTAAGAGTGATACAACTCACAACAATCAAAAAGAAATCTAAGGAAGAAATTCAACAAGTCAATGGATGCAAAACCATCAAGACTCGTGACCAAGTTCAAAGAAAGATAAAAAATCAAGCTACAATGGAAGTACCTAAGTCCTAGAACCTACAAGTAGTACATCTATAGGACTTAGACTTAAATGTAAAGGTAATTGACTAATATTACATGAATGAGCTCAAAGTATACCTAACTTTATACATGCATTGTCAACGTCTTTAAACACTATAACGATATTTGAAAGTCTCATGAAAAACATTCTTGACATGTTTTATAACTTCAAAACGTTTTTATTAAGTCAAGGATTTACATAAAAAGTAATTGGATGCAAGTTTGAGTGCTTTTGAACTCTTAAAAATTGCATTTTACTTGCTGTCAAGAAAGTATTCGAATACCTGTGCTGAGAACAAAAGTAATCGAATACTTATACAAAAGTAATCAAATACTTATAGAGAAGTATTCGAATACTTTTCTGAAAATAAAAGTATTCGATTACTTATCGAAAAATATTCAAATACTTACTGGATAGTAAGCATTCTAACAGCTATAAATGACTAGTTTTGATCCGACACTTATAAATACTCATTTGTTACGCCTTAAATCACTTGAAGTTACTATTTTATTGAATATACAATCATTATTGATCATTCTTCTTGAATCAAACACATCATCTACTCATTCTTACATATCTTGATCAATAATCATAAATCCTATTTGAGCTCTTTTCTTGTGATATCCATCAATACCTATAAGCTTCAATTTTGTTCAATCTGTACTTTAAAAGTACTTATTTATTTAAACACTCACCATTTGATTTCTTGAATAGAAAGGGAAGTGAACCCTTTGTGTTTAAAAGGTTACCAAAGCCCCAAGCAAAAGGAAAGCAACAACAAAGCATTCCATTCTGATATTAATTTACACATTTAAAAATCTACACAAGGCAGAATTATATTTTCATGTGTTTTGTGATTATCCGTTGGTAATTTGATCCTTTTTTTTATTTTTTACATGTTGTGCATTTAGTAATTAGGACTAAGATAATAATAGTTATTCATCATGTAGCGTGATTTATGTCGTTGCATGATATTACATTTTCTACATTTTGTTACATTAGGAATAAGCTAGTTATATAGTAACTATTGTGTGGTTTATGGTTGAATTTTGGTTTATAATTAAATTTTGCATTCAATAGTTCTAGGTAATTAGGAGTTTGAATTGTGTTGTTAGCATTACTTTGCGGACAAAGATAAAAGCTTGATTATCCATGTTTCCTTTTGATTATGCAAAAAATGCTCTCTATCTTGTTGACTCAATTTTCTATTTTTAGCTATTTTAATGAAAATTGAACAATGCTTTCTTTTGCCTTGCATATACAATGCATGGCTCAAAAGGTGAGGAGCAAGGTGCTAATAATAAAGGTGAAGAAGACCAGAAGAAATAAAAAGAGTTAACTATATAGATTGCCGAAAAAGCACAAATGACAGAAGGCATCTATGTTGCAACCTTGAAGAATCACCTTTATGGAAAAAGACATCCCACCCAAGGAATTGGAATGAAAAATTGATGCACCCAATGGAAGAATCAATATGCAACATTCAAGGATAAAAATCAAGATATAGTTGTGTGTTTTTCCCACGTGACTATTCTTAGCCCAGTCCATTTAATAAAGCTATATACACATGTACTTTAAGCAATTAGTAATTTAATTCCAGATTTCCAAGAGATAAATACAATCTGAAATAGTCAAAACCTTACCTATATCATTGTATCTAAGGTTTTTATTTTTATTTTTTAGGGAAACAAAAAATAATATGTTCTTGTGGAATCAATATTGATTGTTATTTTTCTAAAAAAATAAAAATAAAAATCTAGTCCACGCGTTTGATTTTGAGATTTTTCTTTATTTTTTAATTTATAACCTAGGTTTAGAATGCTATTTTGAATGTCGTAGCATGGGCCCAAATTGGGGGGCTGAGTCCATAGCTAACACTGTAGATATACTTACCGTAACAAGTAAAGCTTTTTATTAGTAGGCCCATTTACTTTATTAGGGCTACCGATCGACAGTATGTTGAACTCCGGAGAGTAGAATACTGGCTTTTTTGATCCTTATAACCCTTTACTAATAAATAATTACTAAATTGACCTTCATTATAAACTATTTCAAAAATTTAACCCCCCTCAAAAACATAACACCAATCTGCCTCTGTTTGACTGTTGACCACTAAACCTACCCGGGTACACCCCTCCCTACCCGGGTATTTTTTGAAATTTTTTGTATACCCGGGTAGGGAGGAGTGTACCCGGGTATTGTTCTTGATTGCTTGAATTATTTACCCGGGTAGGGATGAGTGTACCCGGATAAATGTTCTTTATTTTAGTGATTAGTGATTCATTACTTAATTACTTGCCACACGTTCTATGTTTCTCGTTCTTTATGGTTTCCATGAACAGCGTTAGTGTTCATTTCTTTACTTTTTTTTTTTTTTACTAAGCATCTACCTAATTAACTTATCTAAAAATGCTTTCGAGGAACTGCAGGCATTGGCACAATACGTGTTTGAATCATTGTGGGTTAATAAGAAGAAGATTTACCCGGGTACACTCATCTTTACCCGGGTAAATAATTCAAAAAATCAAGAACAATACCCGGATACACCCCTCCCTACCCGGGTATACAAAAAATTTCAAAAAATACCCGGGTAGGGAGGGGTGTACCCGGGTAGGCTTGGTGGTCAACGGTCAAACAAGGGCAGATTGGTGTTTTGTTTTTTAAGGGGGTTAAATTTTTGAAATAGTTTATAATGAAGGTCAATTTGATAATTAATTATTAGTAAAGGGTTATAAGGGTTAAAAAGCCGTAGAATACTACTTGTTATGCCTACCAACTTAGTATTATTGTATGTCTCTAACTTTTCAAGTACAATATTTATTGTGTTTTGAAAAACAAGACGAAACACGACGACGGAATGTTCTTGAAAATGAAAAGGAATGAAAATAATAAATATGACGGTTTCGTAATCAAATATCTAATAATTGGGATTGGATTCTGGTGAAAAAATAATTATGTTATTTGTTCACAATCATTTATTGATAATCAGTCAAGAGAGAAAAAAAAATATAATATAATTTTCAAATAATATTTGTGATCAAATAACATTATCACATGACAGCTTTTTTATATTAGAGAATCCAAATCCCTAATAATTGGTTTAATAATTATTTTATGATAGCAAAAATATGTCTTTTATCTACAATTTAATATTTTATGTAAAAATTTTGAACTTTAAATATTTATTTAATTGGCTATCTTTTTTGCCCTATATACAGTGACGGAGTCACGTTAGGACAGGATGAAGTCTTAATCCACACTAATTTTTGAAAATTAGCCAAGTTTTAAACGTGGCTAAATCACCGTAGCTAATTTGTACTTAACTAGGTTTGGCACAGGTTCATGCGATAAATGTTTTTTACTTACACATACCAGAAAGAAAGGTAGATGAAAACGAAATTTGATGTATAGACCTTACAATAAATTAGTTCACGCTTTCGTATCTATAAATTAAATTCAATCATGTTTCTTTTATAATTTCTCACCCGTAAATGAATGCTAAATCCATGACTGTTTACATGTACAACTAAGAATCGGATTATACAAACCAGATGAGGTTGAATGGTTGGTAATTTGGGTCTCCTTGCATAGTGTGCTCTGTATCTGTTTGAAAGATGCAGGTGACAACGATTGAACAAAGTGGGATTGTGTACGTACTAGACACTTTACATTCAAGTCAGAAAGTGATAAAAGAACGGAGAATATGAAAGGAATCGCTTGTGTACCCTGTAATTCATGATATACAGCATTATGCGTGTGCGGGGAATCTGGGATAGGAGGATACCTCAGGATTCTCCCACCATAGATTCTTGCACTATAATTCTTTAACAAGCACGAGAAACTAATTAGACCCATATTATGATCCAAAACATATAGTATACACACATTATATGCAAATAATATTCTTTTCCCTTTATTTGAACTGTTCAATTCATTTTCTTTACAAAAGGGTTGTACATACATTATTATTAGCTATCATTATAAATGTAGCAGATTTTTAAGTCACATAGTAATTTTGATTTTATTTTTATATTAATTTTAATGAAAATTAGAGAGAAGAAGTAAGCTAATAATTAGTCATGCCTAACTCATAGGTTGCTCAAGTTTGATGAGTAAGGCTGAAATCTTATATTAAGAAAAATGTTCTTTAATTTTATATATTTTAGATTAATATGTAGAGAGAGAGAGAGAGAGGGAGAAATTCATTTCCAAATTTGTGAATTGAATCAATGTTCGTGTAACTTCTTATTGTTCTATCTCTTTTAATGATTTATAACTAGCATTGTTCTAATGTAGGACAACTATCCATGTAGAGAAAATTCCGATGTCTTTTCACCCAACACAAAAATAAGTATCCATGCAAAAACATGTGATGAAATAATGCATTATTTTCTGATTCCACCCTAAGCCCGCACATATAATATTCCTTTCATTAGAATAACCTGATAAACGTTTGCCACAAAAAAGTAGAGCAAGCTGATTCCTAGTATTATTAGGACAGAACCCAAAGTTGTGCATCATAAACTGGAAAGAAACATTCGGTTTCAGTCACGAAAGGTGCAAGTAGTTCCCCTGGGAAGTAGGAAATGTCAGCCAAAGAGAGTTCCGTCCAAGAATATGCACTTATGGGATCTGTATATGTATCCATAAAATTAGCAAAGTCATCCATAACCAAATTCCCGTTACCGTCTGGTGCAGGCTCCTCTATAGTGCAAAAAATATCACTCAATGATGGAGAGGCATCAGGGGTTTGAGTCTGAGAAGTAGTTGGAGAAGTGTTTTGGAAAGGATCAACAATTTCTACCGAGTCCTTCTCTTGAATGGATTCAACTTGGGAGTGATGCTTTGACTTGGATGTTTCAGCTTTTTCATTTGATACTGAACTATTTTGAAAGCGCTTCTTAAGATGGGCATGCCAGTGATTTTTTATCTCGTTGTCTGATCTTCCGGGTAAGTTAGAGGCAATCATAGACCACCTACAAGTGAAGGTAATTGCATTTAATTAGTTATGGTTTCTTCACAGTTCGTGCAATGTTATACGATTCATAACTAGCAAGAAATTACATTTAACGGAGAAGCAATCAATGTTGTGATGAATTGATATGATTAATTACATAAAATCATGTGATCAAATGTAACTTTAGAGAACATTGTTGCTCGATCTCCAAAAAAAAAAAGAGAACATTGTTGCTCAGGAACGAAGTGTAGGGTATGATGTAACAATTCTGGTACACAAATTTACCGAGTCTCATTTCCTATGTGACAAGTATAATTTAACGTTTAATCATTAAGATAAACTAGAAACATATTATTAGAGAATTTTTTGTTTTCAAGAAGAAGCAATTGGGGTGTGTTGTGTTATACCTATTTCCAAACCTTGCGTGCAGTTTGACAATAGTCTCTTCTTCTTCATGAGTGTAGTTCCCTCTTTTGATGCCTGGCCTTAAATAATTCATCCACCTCAATCTGCAGCTTTTTCCACACCTTGCAAGACCTGAAACAATATCACGCAATTATATTGTGTGTAATTGAGTTCCTCTTTTTGACCATATATAGATGGCTATTATAATGATGGATTGATCATGCATGGAGAATAGAGCAGTGTTCTTAAATTCCTTCACAGTTTAATAGGTAGCTTTCTTAGTTAACTTATGTATATGCCACATACACTACAAGCCAAATGATCACCTGCAAACTTGGGAAGTTGGCGCCAATTCCAGTGGCCAAACCTAGTAACATGAGCAATCAACTTTTTGTCTTCTTCGGGTGCCCATGTTCCTTTCTTCAGTCCACTTTTGTCGCAGCAAGGGGTTCTCACCATCTTTGATTTCTACTCTCTTTTCCAACTCTATAGAGAAAGAGAGAGAGAGAGAGAGGAGTATATATGTTGAAATTGTGAGCAGCAAGACATTTTCCCAAGTTATATAACTGAGGGGGAGAGGGATTAAACAATTGCAAAAGAGTTGACACGAGCAATTTTAGTCTTCCAGCGGAAAACTAGAAGCTCTCTTCCCACTTAGTACCCAACCACTCAGTTGAATTTTCCCACTCGGCCACTCGTCAAAGTTGAATCAAAGTTGCCGCGTTCTCCAATAAAATTACTTGCCGTATCTCTATCTGGATACCGTGCACCATATTCAATTTTAAAATAATAGTAATGTGAATAATATCAAATTTCGTGATCATACGCATCATCATATATATACTCGTACCACATTCTCATTCTCATTACCTATCTTCTTCCCTGTAACCTGAAAACAAAAAACAAAAATTTATTATTTTGCTGCCTTGTATAACTTTACATCAATCTATCACTCTTTCCAAACTATATAGCAATCTGTTTCTATTTGACTAATGTTTTATCAACACTATTTGATCAATTTGCACATTTACAAGTGTTGGGATAGATTGGTGTATAATTTGAGAAGATAGACAAATTTATATATAATTTGAGAAGGGGTAGCATGATAAAAAAAGTTAAAATAGGAACAAAACGGTTAATCAACTATAATATATATGTTAAGACTTAGGACTATATTATGTATACCTGAAAATTGAAATAAAAATTAGTGTACAACTTACCAAGAAAAAATATGGAAAGAGGGAGACCATTCATTCAAAAGTCCTCCACCCCCCCTAATATTTGTCTCGTAGTTTTGTAAATTTAACTATTTTCTCTCACCATAGAGGGTTAGAACTCTCGAAACATTAAATTTTGTTCCAATTCTAAAGAAATTCTTTCACTATTTTAATGTTTTTTCAAATCTTGATTTAAAAAATATATGAATACATTTTATATGGAGTCTTCTTGAAATTAATTAAAGTCTATGTATTTTATAAGCTCTGACTAATTAAGTTATACAAGTAAGGTGTGAAAAACATTTTCGCTTATTGAAAAAACGATCCGATTTCCATCTAAATCAGAGGACGGTGAGCCTATTCTAGCCTAACCAATAGGAAAAAGAAGACAAAAATTTAAGAATATTGCTTGGGAGAAATCTATTCACCCTGCTCTTATTACCTGGATCTATAAGGTTTTGTGCTGGGATGCATACTCTAAAACTTGATTTTTATTTGTTGTCAATCAGTTCTTGGGTGAGTGTTAGTTTTTAAACTTAGCTTCAATTTAAAAAATTCTTAGAAGCGTGGATAATTTATAAATTCATTACCCCAAGAGCTCTTTTCTAGGGTTTCAAACATGAAAATTTGATTATTTTTTATTTTTTTATTTTTAGAATGGGGCGGTAAGAACCGAACTTTAAATCCTTTTTATATCAAGTAAAAAATCAATTCAATTCAAAAACTTAAATCATCCATATTAATTGATAATGAGAGGATCCATGAATCTAATATTAAAATTTTGGGTTGACAGAGACATGAAATTGAGTCCATTTGTTGCTGGACCCAACAGCTGTGTCTAAGTCGTTTTTTATTAGAGACTAGCTAGGTGTTTGGTGAGAAACGGATTGAATACTTAGGTTTTCAGAACTCAAAAAGGATTTTGTTGAGGGGAGCATACTAATTTTTTATTTTTTATTTTGGGGTTGTCTTATACTTAAATTCAACTTTTTATTTAAAGAATGGAGACAACGATAATTGAACTCTAAATCCAATTGATCATAAGCTTTGATGACAAGTCACAATTCACGTGTCTTGTAACTAAATAACTCTCCAAAACATTTAAGCCGTTCGATTAAGGTATACAAATAATTTTATTATATCTATTTGCACTTTTAATGCGTTTATAGAATATTAAAATAAGCAAGTAAAAGCATTGTTATTTTGCCTAAATATGCCGATAGCTTAGTCTTACAATTTTTCACCAAAATATTTCTTTCCAAACTCAAGTGTGTGACCTGCTCAATTATATGATTATATGAATACTATAATTTACAACATTAATTACTTAATATTTGATTTGGTGCCATATGCATGCCTAAAAGCAGTCGGTCTCCTTTACATTAAAATAACTTTCAACTAAAAGCGAACTTAGTTATTTTAATTATAAATATTTCTAGGGGTTTGCATTTATCATTTAACATGACACACCAAAGTTTTCTACACACACAACATTTTATGGGACCCACACTTTTTGAAACAAAAAAAAAAAAAAAACTACGGCATGCAAAACGAATCTCTATAACATTACACAATCATTTTTCTTACAACATAACTCTTATAAAACCCATATTTCTAATCTCAAAATAAAACTAATAAAATATACTAAAACTATATTGTGCATGTTTAATAATTTTGAATGCCTGTTTTTAATAGCTAATAATCCAATCTTAGAAAACGGGCCAATTGAGCACGACTTATTGTACGTTAGCCTTAATTAATTGTGTCAAGCCGAATAAGATCCTAAAAAAAACGAGTTGGGGTTTTAGGAACTTGACCTAACTTAGGGGATTAGTGTATTAAACAGGATACTACATTTTTTTTCTTATTAAGAGAGTTATTGATAACAATATTTTTTCTCTAAATTAAATCAAAACTAAACATGCACTTATTTCACCAAAAATAAAAAATATGATTTTTTTTAATCTGCAAATTGAAATATGATTTTAGACAATAAATAATTATATGAAAAAACAAATGATTGATAATAAGTTAGGCTAATGTAGAATACCAAAGAATCGGCTTAGCGACAGCCAAACACGTAATGTAAAGACAATTCACAATTACATCTACAAGTTCAAATATGCTTATATCCATTGTTGTCAAAAACTAGTGTAAAAACATAAAAAGTTACGTTTTTACTAAAGTGATGCGTGTTAAAATGTAAATAAAAATGGTCCTTGATAAAAACTGGTAAAAACGCCGTGTAAGAGCGTAAAAACTTATGTTTTTACTTGAAACGAAAAAAATTAAAAAAAAAAGATATAGAAAAAATAAATTAAAAAAAAACCCAATTTTTTCGTTTTCCCCAAATCATATGCATAGTATCTTGATATCTTTTTGTTTGGATATATGTCTTTTATAATTATGTCTTATAAAGCTGCAATTCTATTATAAATTATGCTATGAGAATCGTTTTGTGTTTTTGGATCATTGTGTGCATTGAAAGAAGTGAAATTATATCCTAATGAGCGATGATCTAAAATCTGCAGAGTATATTAAACAGTTAGAGCATATTGGTTATATATTATTTGTTAGTTATCACTGTTTATAGTTTTGATACTTGGTTATCAAAACTAATTTTCCTTTTTAGATAGATAAGTGGCTCAACACACATATTCATTATGTAATATTTTTTTACATGCATATATATAATTTTGTATCTGAACCTTAAGTAGTAGAAAGTAGAAACTTTACGTTTCGTGTCATTTCTACGTTTTACGTTTCTACGTAGAACCCGAGTTTGACAACATTGCTTATATCAATTACTTAAAATCAAATTACATGCAATATTCTTGTGCATTTTTAATCTTAGCATAAATAAATTGCCTTTAACTTGACTAATAGAGAGGATTAATTAAAGTACAAAAAACCTGGCCAGTTAATAGGCCCATTAAACTTATATATAATGCTTTTTTTATTTTATTAATTTTTTTTTAAACTTATTCGAGTTGGCTTGACTCACAAGATATGCATATCAAGCTTTTTTTACCCGTATTTAGATAAACCAAGGTTTGAAAAAACCATAGTCACGCGCATAATAAGCCCATTTTCTCTGACTTACATAAACTATCCAACATAGACTGGATACTAAAAACTTATTTTCGATTTTATATAAGAATCCAGTTAGAGATTTTTTATGGACAACGAAATAAAAATTAAGATAATGAAATAAAAATTAAGATAATGAAATAAAAATAATAAAAATAATTTTCCACAATAATAATAATAATAATAATGGAAAAATATTTGCCCTTCTAAATGATTTTCATTTTAGTTAAAAAATAACAATCAATAACACAATTAAAAAACAAAACTAATAATAATAATAACAATAACTTTTTTTTGACGTCCTGTGGCCTGTGCCATATATTTATCCGCCACTTGCATTCTTTTATCCTGTCAGGAACACACACACACAAAAACATATGTATATGGTAGTTGTGGAAAGAAGTTTATTTTATTTCCTTCATTCTTCCAGTCATTAATTTGCATGCTCGCTTTGTCTGTTTCATCCACAATAAAACTGTTTTTTTTCGTCCAGTGCTATCCTCCACTTGCATTCTTTTAACCATACATTTGATTATTTATGGCTAAGAATAATTAGTTGCTTTGAAAGTCCAAATAATGTGACGACGATGGTTGTGTGTACTACATCATCAACTGTCAATTCATTCAATTTGGATACAAAAACGAACACAACCATAAATTATGTTTAGCTCGATGCAGGAACCGGATATATGACAGCCCACAAACTTGGAACATATTCATACAGTTACATACATTCTCGAATTTAAGTGATTCTTATAGTTATTTGACCAATACAAGAAGTAGCAACTTGTACGCGGTGAATGCATTTTATTTTATTTTATTTGTGAAGCACATTTAGGTATCAAATATTTTGCATCTAATATTGGACCAGAAATGAAAAACATGAAACACGGAGATGAAATTAGTTTGACCCTCATACTCAATCAATTGAAAATTTACTCAACTACATATTAATTTTAACACATGTTTAGTTTCTCTTAATTTTTACTTAAAAAAATAACTTCTCAACTAAAACTTCTATCCACATCATTACCATTTTTTAAGCATAAAATAAGGTAATCAAAATATGTTATAGTCTTTATATAACCGATACAGGACTAAATAATTGATGGGGGAAAAATAGAGAAAATAGTATTATTATTAAATAATAAT